AGAAGACTAGTCTTATGCTCACCAGCAGACATGAATGCTTTTGGTGTGATATTCTAGGGAGAAAAAAGAAGAAAATGCTGCTTTGGATTCTTAATTCATTGTCTTGCATATCTTTTGTCTGAACATGCCTTTAGCAGCTGAGGTCTAGAAAAGTCTTGGACCTGTAAGTCTTGCTGCAATAAGCACTATAAGCACAGCAACCTATTTCATTCCAAGTTTATTGACTTTTTAGCCTAATAGATAGAGCTGAAATATCTATGAGCCCTTTCCTTGCTCAGGGATTTGGATTCTGTTTACTATTAAAAGATACGATTCTATAAAAATATTAAAACACAAGAAAAACTCTCTGAACTGGGAATTTGTATGTATAGACACTAGGCACGGATATATAAATACAACATGTAAACGTGTCATACAGGGATGTTCCGCACACACTCACATGCACATTCCCACATACGCACAAATAATCAAAAAAGACAGCAATTAAAGCCTTAGAGTCCTTGTTTCTCATGACATGACTCCTAGTTAATATTACCTTTGCTGATGTTTTGGCTAAAACATCTTGCAGTTCCATAATTTTCTGCACAAGTCCATGGAAGTCATTACAAGTTGGGCATGCTGGAATAATAAAATACGTATATTAATTTTTAAAAAAATGTATTCACAATAGGTTCAATCCTGTAGAAGTTGACAACTATCACACTGAAACTCAAGGTTTTAAGAAAGCTTGCAGGGCAGAAAGTAGGTACAAAGCACACCTTTTGTTTTATGGTATAAGAATTAATAGACTTACTGCGATTAAGATCTGGGCATTGAGAAATAAATCCTTGAGGCATGACAAGTAAGTGCACATCTTGCATTACGCCCTATGTGCGAGTGAAGAGAAAAAAAAAAAAGGAAGGATACATTATTTTTACCTGTCAAAATTATGTTTTTCATTCACCATGTAAAACATTATAACCCACAAAGAAAAATTGCCCCATAAAAACAATACTTATGAATACACAGCTTCTTGCCTAGACCAAATGCAGTGATAGAAGAATTAACAGAAAGTAAAATAGATAGATGTACAAATAGAGACATACTGAATCATTTTAAACACAGAAGATTAAATGTCAAGGTGTAATTATGTGGCAAGAGTTTGGTTGTTTTGAATTCATTGTTATTTTTAGTTAGCCGCTGCAGAAAAGCTTGAAAATGACCTTTAAAAGTAATTTGAAAAACAGTTGCAGTTTCAGTTACTTTGAAACACTCTTAAATAAAATGCAAATTCTTTACTAAGCTATAACTGTCAAATCAAAGTTGAAGATTAAAGAAACTAAGTCAGAAAAGAAAACATTCATGCAAACCCTTTATGATTTTGATGGGGATCTTTCCATAAAGCATGCAGAATGCTGAGAAACTGTTAACACAGCTGCAGAGTCACATGTTGGCAAGAACTTAGAGGAAGTTTAGCATGAAATTCAACTACGCTATCTAGAAAGCACCGGTTTCACCGAGTAGATCCCACGCTTGCAGACAGAATTCACACATGCATCCTCAGTCATTAAGATATTACTAGTAACCACTTTGCTGCTCTCCGAAAGCAAAGGCCAAATAGCAATTTCAAAGTGAGACATCCGGTCATATTTACCCCAGATGTCCCTTTCATCCATGACTCTCACCCTGCATCTCCAAAACTCCTTCTTAGGAATAATTACAACATGCTTCAGCATGCTTATAAAGAGAACGTTTCACGACACTAAGAACACAACCCAAACTAAACTAAACGCAAGAGTCCACATTTCATCCACATACACAGGGCATTCAATACAGACATTACAAAGTCAAAGAACCAGAATTTTGACCTCAAGTGAATGACTCGGGGTGACTTAGCAACCTAACCGACCTACAGAGAAGACCAGGTATCACTGGAGGGCAACTAAGAGGGTACTTAAGTACCATGCCTACCTTTCTCCTAATCAACAAAGCTGTGATCTAGGGCAACTGGATGCTCCACCATGCTGTGTAAGGAGCTGCGGTGATTAGCTAATAGTGAAAAAAATAGGTGTGCTTGAGACAGGGCTCCATGTCAGGACCTCCCACAGCACGTGTTCTGGAAGCCAGGAGCAAAGACCTCTTTGAAGAGCACACCAAAAACCTCACTGTATTGAACTTCTCCTCCTTTCCTTCCTTGATGCCATCAAGTTCAAACTCATGTCAACCCAAGTTATGCCATCTTCATGGAAAGGAGGAATGGCAGGGTCCAACCCATTCAAGTTTAAAACAGTCTTCACTGAACACAGAGGCAAGTATTCAAATAATCTAGCTATTAACCAACAGTAAAGCTCCTCTAACTATTTGAGGAGCTTTATTCATCATCCATCAGCTGTGATGTAAGCTGCACTCCACTTGCCAGGAAATCAGTTTCCTTCTCATCTCACAAAGTGACAAGAGGGAGCTGTTAACACCTAGCCCACCTGGGCTCTCAAATCAGAACCTCCTGACAATACATGAGAGGCTTTGCACAGGCTCCTAAAGAACCTAGTAGTTCAAATTAATACACCACTAGATGCTAGGTACCGAATTAGTACTAGTTACACAGTACTAGAAATCAGATAGCCAGAATTGTGCTCTCAGACTTCAGACCTTAAAATGAAATGGGTACAAAGATATCCCAGTAAGAATTTGCCTACTGGCACATTAGTTTAGTGCAACAATATTATGTTCAAAATCAAATACACCAAAATAAAATCTTTTTCAGAGTGACTAATGATTTTGAGTACCTTGACCCCTCCGGACAATACATTTAATCCACTCAAAGTAGCCTGATTTTTGGAAATAGCTAAGCACCTAGACCTCTCAAAATCAGATCAGTGGGAGTTGTCCCACAGTGACTGTCTAAAAATACAGGCTCTCCAAAGCACTAAGAAGCATTCAAAGTCCACATCTTCTAAACTGATAAATCTCCTGTACTACATTTTCAGATGCAGTTTGACTATCGGTACTATATTATCCTAAAGAAATTACTTAGCACAGTATATTTTGGCTATACCAATGCTCTTAACAGCTCTCCATTCCTGTATTTCTGTTAACTGCTTTATATGTGTAACTGAGGCAAAATTCTCCATGTATTTTCTTTAATTTTATCTTTCTTGAAAAGAAAGAAATAAAAAAATAATACAGTCCACTACTGAAGAATTTCTTTTTCTACACCTAATGAGCTTCTTCGCCGTGACTACGATTTGGCAAAAAGAAGAATATAACCAAGCCAAAAACTGAGAAGGCGCAAAAAAAAAAAGGCATATTAATTATAAACTTGTAGAATAAATGAAGTGTATCTGAGATCAGTTTAAGCAACACATTAATATTTTCTGATTTTATTCTTGGAGTCAACTGTTTATTTAAGCCGGAAATATAATTTTGCAGCTTGTTTAGCAGACATCCTCTTAGTCTTTTGGAGGAAAAGGAAACGAATTGAAAAATAAAAACAAAGTCATGCTTCAGTTTTCAAATCTGAGTGCCCCACTGGACTTCTGTACTTCATATACAACAAGGACATAAATTAGCATTTAAGTATAGCAAACAGTATTTCAACACCCAAAAACTGACTTTAGCACAAAAGCACAGAACTTGCTGTGAAAACCATAGTTAAAGTGGTTTACGCTGAAAAAAAATATTTAGCAGGCCATATTTTTAAAAGTGATCAATTCCATTTTGATGCTCAAGTAAAAAGATGCCTACTAGGAGGAAAATAGGACCACAGTGTGGAAGGCATCCACAGGGATGCCATCATTTGTTAAAGCAGCTCCAGAGGAGACTGAGGCCAAACCACAGATAGCCGCTGTGACCAATGAGTGCTATCTAAATGGCCTCAGAGGAACCAAAATTTACATTCCAGTTCAACATACCGTTCACTTCTTCAATCTTGCTATACACTAGACCCCTGCTATAGATACATGTTAAAGCAGAAGCAGTAAGCAAAAAGTATGTACAAATATTCTTCCTCTGGGGCAAAAACCATTTTCTTTATTGATGCTACTCATCTTATTCATTTCTGAGCCAGAAGATATTGTGATGAAACCTAAATCCTACAGAGGCAATGAAATTGGAGTTCCCTAGACTGCAGTGTTCTGTGACACACAAAATAATGCATCTAGCTATGATACAGGCAATAATATGACCATTTACTTCCTGGAATTCTGTTGCCTTTCCCAGCTTAGGCTGTTACTGGCAGTGTCATTTGGTGCCACTGAGCTCTGCAACTTTATTTAGTGAAGTCCAGTTTGATGGAAATACAGCTCACTGCATCACATATGCTAATACACAACATGCCACAGCCCTCAGAACAGTGTTATGATTACAGAAATAGACTGGTTGAGGTTGAGAGGCACCTCCTGAGATCATCTACTCCCCTGTTCAAGCAGGATCAGCTAAGTAGGTTGCGCAGGACTGTGTTCAAATGGCTTTTGAGTATCTTCACAGGAGTCTTACTCTGACCAGCCTCACAGTAGAACTGTTTTCTTATGTTCAGATGACATTTCTGGTGTTTGTTTTCAGCCATTGCTTCTTGGCCTGTCAGTGGGCACTACTGAGAAGGGTCTGGATCCCTCATCTTCATTCCCCCCACACATTCAGGTTTTTATACGTATCAATGAGATCCCCCTTGAGCCTTCTCTTTTCTAGGCTGAACAATCCCAGCGTTCTCAGCCTCTCCTCATATGAAAGATGTTCCAGTCCCTTAGTCATTTTTATTTAAGTTCACCCTTTTCCTTCCATGGAATGCATACCTTAAAATAACCATGTGCATTATTCCTCTGTCCCAGCCAAAAGGTTGTACCCAAAGGTAAGTCCATGAAGGGCTTCTCCACAACTCTCTCATAAATTCTGAAAAGGAAGGGAAAAATATAGTCCCAAGTTGTTATAATTTATTTTACTCAAAGCTAGAATGTTCCAAATGTGACAACTTCTTACAAAACAACACTCTCTACTTACTTATTGCAGTCCACATGTAAAATCAAGTGAGAGGCACTGATTGCTAAGGAAAGCCTGTGCCATTTATCGTCTGCCAAAATATATGGGAATACTTCTGTGTGGGAGCGATGACTGCCTGAACGATAATGCAACCTGATTTCATTTCGATGACCGCTGCTTTCCAGCTCCAGGTACCTGTACCATAAATGCATCATTGTGTCATGAACCATTTTTATCAGCACAGCAACATTTTACATAACACAACTTCTCATTATCATGCAGGAACTATTTAAAAGAGGGGGAAAGACAAGCAAGGAGATACAAAGATGAAAGTAGACACTTTTCAGATTTGCACTACATCCTTCTTCTCAATAACACATAACAGCAGGTTCTAGTTTTCATGGAAGTATACAAGATCCCAAGCCAAGTATTTTTTTTTCCTCTAGCAACACTATTTTCCATAGCATGATCTGACTGAAAACATAATTACCCTATTATGAATAATCCCCTCATATCCTGAAAGCACAGTAAGGACACTCTGAAGGCATGAACACGCAAAAGACAACACCAAGTTTTGCAACAGGGACATTATTAGCCATTACCAACCAGGGGAGTAAGCAAGAACAGAGACTGAACACAAATACAAAGTCAAGAAGTGCAATCTCTTCAGAACAATTTATATATGTGTACATATTTGCTTTGTTAAATAAGTACATGTATTTGTGGTATGTGTGTGTATATATATACACACACACGTATATACGTGTATACACATACACATATATACATGGTAAAAAAACAGCATTGCAGCTGTACCAAGGTAAGTGCATCATACAACAGATTCGCAGATTGAAAACATAAGATTTTCTGGTGGAATTCCAGCAGATCAATCTAAACAGCACCCCATAACCAAACTTACTACTTAGTCAGACAGGCCTATTTCTTGCGTATCGGACCTCTTCTGGGAATAAGCTTGACAAATCATTTGTCTTCCAAGCACTAAGCTTCTCATTTTAAAGTCCCCCCCTAAAATTCTTTTAAAACAGGAAAGAAAAATAGAAAGGGACATTCTCTAATAATCTATTCAACCTACAGCTAAAGAGCAAAGAAAATAACATAGTATGTGGTGAGATGCTCAACAACTGACAGAATGGACAATTCATTTTTGTCTGGTTTCACTGCTACATCTGCAATCAGCATGACAGTGGTTTGCAATCTGAGTGCACGCATGTTTTAGGGTGATATCGTTTAATTTAACAGGCTATCTATATTAAAGAGCAGACAAGACAATGATCGCAGTTTTTGAGAGTGAAGATGAGACCAAATCAAAACCACCTTGGTTGGGCAATCATTATCTCTAGGAGGAGGCTGGGCTCACGGCACATCTCTCCTTCCTTCAGGGTGTTTCACAGTGGAACATGCCCTAGCAAAAGCACAAAAACAACTATCCTTTTGCAAAGCTGGCAAAGGGCAATTTCTTCTTCCTCCCCAGCATTAACGAAGCAGTTAACTACAGTCAGCAATAAATTTTATCATCTGAGATAATTTACCTCCTCATGGCCCAAAAATAATTTTTGCATTGGCAAGAAGTGTAAACTAATTGAAGGCCTGGCTGGAAAAAAATTGGGCAATAGTGGCAGGACATCAGTCAACTTAATAACCTCCTTCATAACTCAAGCTTCAAGGATAAAAATAAGGTCACTCTCAACCTGCCAGAGGAGGGGAACATTAAGGAACCAGACTCCTCCAGCAAGTTTTAAGTGTTTCCACCCAGTTGCAGATACAATGTGGAAAAAAGAAAGGCATGGATATGTTGAAACATATCTCCTGGTAGAATCAATGGCTGGCTCCTACTCTTTTCAAGGTCAATAGCAGGACACACGCTAACACACAGATATGCAGGCATGCAGGGAACAAACTACACCAACAGACATATAGTCAGTACTGAAGGTGTAAAATGAACACCCATGTTGCCCCTTATGCAAGTGACATAATGAAATCTTGGAGAATGAAACATGGATTTCCCAATAAAAAGAAGACATCACTGTAAAAATTTCAGGAATTAAGAACTGCTGAGAAAGGACACTGACTAAGCAAGGAAACCTTCCTACACAAAGCTGTGCAAAAATTATGGACACCTTGGGGTTTTGTTTTCACTGTGATTAAAACACTGTTTTGAGATCCACAGGCAATCTCTTATGTTCTTCCATTTGGTAAACTAACAAATACATCTAACTTCTAAAGGCCTGACGATTGTTAGAGAAAACGTGCATCAAAGTGAAGAATAAAATAATAGCTGTCAGGAAAAATTAGAAGAATCATTTATGGTTTACTAATAATCTGTAGAGGCAGCAGCAAAATGCAATTAGAAAAGCAAGTGGAATCACAGCCGGAACAATATTGCCTTCAGCTTGAACCAACGCCATGACACTGAAACACAGGGAAACGAATCATTTTCACTTCATTTTTGCCAAAATGTTGTGTTTGCTATTCCATTTTTATAGATTTGCTTAACTACCTGGACTTAGACGGCTCTGGTTCAGTCTTGTGAGTTTCAGAAGATGGGACAAGCCTCAGCACTGAAACAGAGGTGGAAACGCAAAGCTTGCCCGCAGTGAGGCTTCTCGCGCCATCTGTGAGGCTCTAACACTTGGGTACATATTTTCCAAAGGTTTGGAAGAGTCTTTGAGAAAGTAAACTAAGCATTAACAAATTCCTTTATATTGACAAAAATACTCTATACTTCTCTGTACACTCAGGATTACTATTCTTTTGAGAGAGAAAAGAGGGTGATCTTGGTTCCTAAAGGACTTACTCCCAAAGGGAACAATAACTGCACTATACTGCAGTCTTCTCCTAACCAAGAATCTCATTACTGAAGTTTCAGGGGAACCTCACCAGCTGAATCACTGGTTTCTTGTCCACACCAGCCCAGCCCAGCCATTGCAGGGAGAGCAGCAGCCAAAGAAGTCCCATTACTAACATCACAGCTGCTTCTCCCAACAGCTCCAAGGTGCTCCTCTATGCTGCAAAAGGCAAACAGCTCTTGGAGTGAAAAATAAACCTCAATGAGAAACACAGTACAACAGCAGAACTTGCTTCCCCCTTTACAAACATCCACAATCTCTATGTTACTTAATCAATACGAACCTATTTGATTTTAAACCCAAAAAACCCACATACACTCTGGGTCAAACAGATGTAACTTCACAAGGAGATGGTATGTGCTTATGTTTACTATGTTTGACTTACAGAGAAGAAAATGCCAACCTGAAAAAAAAAAGAGGTTGTTACATCTCCATAGATCACTCTGTGCATGCACAGTCATTGCAAAGGCAACAGCCAAGGCCACAGTAAGATCAGCTGCTCTGCTTGGAAACCTGCCAGACAGCAATCCCTTACATACTGACGAAGGCTGAGGCTATCTTCATAAGAAGAAGAAATTTGTCTCAAATGCCCTAGAGGAATCTGAGACAGAAAACAGTGATGTTTTCTCTCCTGCCCAGCACTGATCTATTGTAACTGCTGGGTAAGAGTCAAGAGTCAGCAGATCTGCTCAACTGCGGAGCTTCTATCGACCATCCCAGCGAAGGGCCCATGGTCTGCACAAGCCTACGCAGGACCTACTCTTCAGGCTGCGACAGACCAGTGTGGGGGAGACTGTGGAACTAAAACCCAGGATGTACAGCAAAAAGCTAGAGATTTAGGAGGTGAAACACCAGGTGGTCCTGGTGTACGTAGTCTTTGAGAAGAGGGAGGTATGGCCCTTCCAGCTAAGAGGCAGTGTTGGTAGCGCCAACACTTTGACGTCTCACTCATTCATTTGGCATCCCTCGTCACACAGCAAAAACACTGTAGCTGCCCATTCTTCCTCCAGGCAACTAATAATTTCAACTTCAATTTCAGCATGTAGACAAATATTTTAGAAGCTAAAGGCAAGAGGTCATGGATGGTTTTAAACTTTTACTACTCACATTTATAGGTATAGTATTAAAAGGGTTCTTCACGGCTCTTTGGTCTACACTAAGAAAAGGAAAACCAATAAAACTAAAGAGGAGTGTGTGCTTAAGAAAAAAATTAAAATCCTTATTTCCATTACTTGTAAAAATCTTTACCTGAAGACTTCCGATACAAAAGTTCTAGCTTTTTTGTCAGGTATGATTACATAAAACACTAAAAAAAAAAAAAAATATAACTGACTCAGTAGACCCTATTCATTGCAAACTATGGCTACAATAGCAGTAAGCAATACTGCTGGATCTAGATTATGAACGTGTAAAACCAATTCACTCTGCACAGCCACCACATTCAGCAATGTGTTATTTGCAATTTTCCATGGTATGATGACTGGGCAGTCAAGAGTGTGAGCCTTATTTTTCTATTTGGAAGTAACACTTAAAGTGTTCTGAAAAATTAAGTGGGAGTATTTACCACTTGGTGTATGCTTTAGAACAATATGGCATCAAAATATCCCCAGATGAATTCTAAATGCCAAGTGGCACCTTTACTACAGCTGTAAAAACCTAGTCCCCATCACTCACACTACTGCTTGGCCTTATTGGCTTTGCCCTTTTCCCTGACTATCTAGAGCTCTACCTGGGCAAGAGATGACTGATGGTTTAGCCAGGGAGTGATAAACAAAAACCTGGTCTTCACTTCTCTGGATAAGTTGGTAGAACCTCGTGCAAGCGCACAGCAGGCAGGAAACCCACCAATTCAGTTTCTGCCTCTTCCTTTTGCTGAATACAGTTTTAGAGCCAAACAAGAATTTTCTAACATAGGATATTTTTGTTCAAAAATGCTGATGCATTCATTAAAACCAGATCCTCTGATAGAAACAAACATTCTCGCAGCAAGGCTTGTGTGGTCCAGGATGAAATGCTTGATAAAATGAGAGACAGAGAGCAAATCTAAGACTCTCTAAAAGACTTTCTCAAACACTCTTCAACACTGCAATTACTATCTATTTGAAAGCAGAGATCCCAAGTGAAGAGAGGTCAAAATCAGAAGAGGGTATTTCCCATATCAAAACAGAGTGCACAAACAATGGGACAGTAAAAACAGTCTCTCAGGTCAACCTGACAAGGCTCTTCCATTACATAAAACTCATCAACCAAAAAGAGTAAGTCAGGGACAAGAGCAACCTAAGTTTGTAAGTTGATCTCAAGTCCTATGCCTATACTAATAAATAAAGC